CTATTAATTTCGATGAAAATGCTAAAAATCAACTTCATGAACAAATACAGGAAATAATAGATTCAAAAGTTCCAGCAAAATAAAAGTTTAAATATATTTTTTTATTCGAATATAAATGAGAAGACGTTTCACTAGTCAAAAGAACACTAACGCAAAAGCAGAGATTACGGTTGGTTATAACGTAAATGATGATAAATCACGAATTATTCAAAATGTTAAAGTTAATGTTAGTCCTGAATTAACAAGGTCAGCAACTCAACCAAATTTATTAACTCGTGACTTACCGAAGAATGAGGAGAATGAAGAAAACCATGAGAATGGAGACCCAATCATTTTATCTGAACCTGGTAAAGAACCTGTTGAAATTCCCACTTATCCAACATACCCCCCACCTCTTTCATCAAACATCGAGAACCCAGGAATCTACGATTACAGTCGCAATGCGCCATATAAAATAGACATTAATTCTGAATTAATGAAAATTTACCGTGATATCATAACTGATAATTATGATTCAATAATAAATTTAATTGACCAATCCGGTTTAATTATTTTACCTTATGAATCATTAATTCACATTATCGCCATTCTTTGTGATGTTCAAGATTCAGACGTGAAGATTCAATTTTTCATAGATGATGAGTTTCATGCTGCGGAACAGTTGCAAAAATAAATCCTATAAAGGATATTAGCACAATTAAGATATCAAAGAACGGAACAACAACTGAACTTCATTTAACATATAATGATATTTATAATAAAATAGTTGATGAATATAAAATATCACTTGAAAAATTCTTTGTTAAGGCTATTTAATATTCAAGCATTAACATTATCGAATAATAATCCTTTGAATCATAATCGATAATAATTGACCTTTCACCAGTTTCTATCGTTTGTTTATTTTTTTGTTCCCCACTATCCGGATCGGTCATTGTAATTGTTTTTGTTATAGTATCAGCTTTATCTTTAACTTCAATCTTTTTTCCATCGGGATATTTAAACCAAAATTCCAAAAATTCGATATTGTCAATCTGTTCATATTTTAATCTCTCAATTACATTTTTAATACCATCTGAAAATCTTATGAAATGGTCATTATATGGTTTGATTGAACTAAATTTGAATGAAGTGAAATATAACCTGATGATGAATATGACATCGACTCATATTTTCTGAAAACACTAAAATTTATAACATGAATGAATTCTTATTCGTTGAATTTATGAATTCTTGAGGTAATCTTATTCTAGTTTTATTTATCACTGGAAAATAACGCTTTACCATATTTTTAATCGTAATAAAAAAATGTCAATTATCAATATATTTCGAATAATAACTGTGAATTAAATTTAACAGTTAGCGGAATTTATAATGTTACTCTCGTTTCTGTGAGTGGTAAATTTAATCCCATTCTTTTAGACCTTCAGATTATATCTCATTTATTAAAGATGACCATGAGCCGCATAGCGGGGGTCGTAGACCTAAAAACGTATGATATGTATATAAATAATGTGATAACGAAATGGGTATTAACATGATTTTAAGTTATTTAAATGAATCATTTATCGTATGGTATGAAGAAAATTTTAAATCAAAACCCGATAAACTTTTTGAACTTGATGAAATAAATAACCTTATTAAATTTCCGCTGAAAATTAAATTTTGTACTCCTCGTCTTCGTTCATTGTTGGGGATATTAAATTTTGAAAAAGATGTTGGGATGTTTTGTATTCTGACACTGGTTCTAATTTCATTTTAATCAAATGTGATAAGTTAATACCCCAATGAGATTTCACATCAAACATTAGACCCTAACTCTTACCCATCAATACAAAACATTTTATCCATCAACTTAAACATATTTTCTTTATCATATCCGTTCAATTATCCGGGAATTCATTTATTCTTCATTCAAAAGATTTATCAAATATTAAATTTAGAATAACTGACCTATTTGATTGTGATTTAGAATTTATGAATGAAATATTATGGCAATTTCAAATAGAAAAAATAGCTGATGAGATAACAGATTAAATATTTATTTTAAATCGTAATAAATGATTAAACAACAGCAACCACAGACCATTACATACGCCATATATGCATATAATTCAAAGACGGCAGAACAAACGCAAATGTTGAAATATGGAGATTTGAGATAGTATTGAAAAATGACCATTTCGAATTCGTTTGCAAAGGTGGTGCAGTGATATCAAATATAAAAGAAATTTTATTTATGAATTCAAAAATTAAAGGAATAACGGATGATATAACATCAATTCCACCAGAAGAACAAAGATATTACGCATTAAATGCATTTCCTAAAGTTTTGAAGATTGGAAGATTTAATTTAAATGAGGAATTCATAAAAGGTTTCCTAATGACATAATGAAGAAAGCAGATAAGGAATATGTTAACGATGAGTTAGCAAAGAAGGCAGATAAGGAATATGTTAATGAAAAAGATAATAAAATTATAGAAAGGGTTGAATGGTATCATGAACGGACATCGAAGATTCTTAAAACTAAAGCTGATACAGGATGGGTTTCAGAATGTTTAGACCTTAAAGCAGATATATCATTTGTTAACGATGAGTTAGCAAAGAAGGCAGATAAGGAATATGTTAACGATGAGTTAGCAAAGAAGGCAGATAAGGAATATGTTAACGAAATATACCAAAGTTTAGTTGGAACAAAAAATATTGAAACTATTGCTGGTGACTTTTCCGTCTATGAAGAAAACAAATATTTTAGATGGGAGTTTGTACAGTCCTTAAGAAATGGTATACGGTATAAACTCATTCCGAAAAATAACAATGAAATGTATGTAGGCTATATAAAGAATAATGGCACACAAGTTAAAGTTCCATTAGACAACAACTGCTACTTAAACTTATATGGAGACGAACAAAAGAAATATTTAAGAGTTTATGAAATGACAGATATGACAGATATGACATTGTCTAACGTAGCTCCAGCACCATATTATTATGACTATGGTGTTGACGCACGTGTAGACCCAAAAAAGCAAACATTATATTTAGATTATTATAGATATAAAAGATATAATGCAATAGAAAAAACGAGAATAGTATACTATTATGAAGATGACAAAATAAAATATTATAGTCAAGATTTTACATACCCTGAAAACATAAGATTATATTATAAAAAATATTCTGACACAAACCAGAAGAAACCCGAAATAGTTACACTATATTTTAAGTTCAAAAGAGACAATCCTATAATATCTCATATGTTTGATTTAATGAACCCAGTAGGTTCTATTTATACATCTATGGATGTGAGAGGTCCTCAAGCAATGTTTGGTGTTGGTGCATGGGAACAAATAGTCGACAGGTTTTTGTATTGTGCAAACTCTTCAAAGGAAACAGGGGGAAGTAAAACAATTACGGGTGAAAATTTACCTGCACACAGTCACTACATAGATTTAAGTACATCTCAAGCAGGTTGGCATAAGCATAGATATTGGGATTGGTCAGGAATGACAAAAGGTAAAGGATATGATGTTAAAGATGATGTTAAATTTGCCATAAATTGTTACTGGAGTGACACTCAGGGAGAAGGAAACCATACACATCGCGTTTCAGGATATACACAAACAACGGGACAAAGTAAAGATTACATGCCACCATTTATGACTGTATTCGCATGGTATAGAGTTCAATGAATTCAGTCCAAAAATAATTAATTTCATTAGTTTTAAAATTATTTTTATTTATTTTTTTATTTTGTATGTAAGAACAGTAATGTCGGTCGAAGCACAGACGTTCACGAACAAATCTAATGGTGAAACATTCACAAAAGGCACTTATAACGGTATTGAAGTCTTACGTAGAGACAAGGATGGTTACATTAATGCAACAAAGATGGCAAGAGAAGCAGGAAAGTTAAACCATTTAAACAGATTTCTCAATAGTACTAAAATGCAGGAAATTCTTGAGTTTTGGTTGAACGAATACGGTGGAGCCAAAAGTGGCTCAACCTCAAAACGAGCATTTTATGAGCTTACTAAGGGCGTTATGAATGAATTCAAAGGTATTTACATACATCCTGACCTCGTTCATTTTGTTGCTGAATGGTGCTCTGTAAAGTATGCATTTTATGTCAAAGATATTATGGACTCCATAGACAAGAAAGTTCATGAGAAGTTAGATGAAGAAGAACTCGAAGATACAGTGGAGAATGCTAAACCTTTGTTCGAAGAAGAAGTTGGAAAAATGTGTGAAAAACAATTAGAACATGAACGTGAGATATATTATGGTTATAGAGATTCTCCATACGAACTAGACCAATGGGAACAAGAAGATTTAAAGAGAGAATTTAGAGAATATGAACTCGCTAAGATAGCATTTGAAGCTGCAGAAAAGAAGTTAAAAGTTTGGGGTCGTTTTGTACAAAAATATTGTGAGTAAATGAACCATTTATTTTTGGTCAAAGCTTCCACGAGAGAAAAGATTCCTCATTCACTAAGGATTCCAAAAATGAAAAAATCATTGATTTCGGCTGAGAAAAAACAGCAAAACCCTTCTTCACGGGAACAAAAAATAAAGAAGAAATAAAGAAGAAATAAAGTAAATTTTTTATTTATTCCCGTGGAAGATAGAGCACTTTTATGACACTTTTTATTCACGACAAACAAGACAAACAAAGAAAATAAGAAAATACGGCGCTGTCGCGGTTCGAACCACAGACCTTGACCCCTCCATAACACCACCTTAGACCACTGTGCTACGTAGCCTGTCGACATAAGATTTTATAAATTGCATATTTGACGTAAATTTATTTCCCAATTATTCAAAAATAATTAATTATTGAAGAACTGAAGGTGCTACCATGCTACCATGTGCTACCAGGTCATTTAACTTCTCTGAAAAAGTGTGACAACACGACATTTTGACAACATCATGGGTTATTCAAAAATAAATTCCAATCATACTTTATAAAGCTAGACCTTCAGGTCTCGCCGCTTAGCGGCTCATTTACAGGTATTTCATCATCAGTAAATGATTCCTCATTATCGTTTGGTTCAACCTGTTTATATAATCCTTTCATTTCTTCTTTCAAAACATAATACCATGTTTGTTTACCGTCTATTCTTCTATGTTTCCTATCACATTTATCCTTAATACTCATTTGAAAGTTTTTGTCTTTCATGTCTGATGGTTTGCAGAATAGAGCATTTTCACACGTCATACCTGCACACAATTCATCATAATGTGTATTTATCCATACATCTAAAGGATTTGAAGATAATTCAATTAAATCTTGTTTGGCTTCAGTCATCGGTATGATTCGTACATTAAATGATGAAAGGTTATATTGCATAAAATACGTCAGTAAATTATCATAAAATTCCTTTGTGCATGAATCCATTAAATTCTTGAAGTAATCAAATTGACCCTTGAATTTACCATTAACTCTTAAAACTACGTATCTTCTGTCTCCAACTTCAATTTTGACAGGGTAGACGTTGTTAGTTACGAAAATGAAGTTTGCAACGTTCTGAGCAGTTCTTCTGGGTTGATTCTTTTCATTAATTCTTATCTCATTATCCGTAATAATTGATTTCAAAGCGTTGAAGTTTGCGAGTCTGTCTTCACCCACATTCTTGAGTTCATTAAGTACAAGAAACATTTTATTTTCAACTACTGAATTGAAATTACCCGTTAGCTCACTTATTTCGGTAATGTTTTTACATGAATAACCAGCGAGGAGTTCAGAAATAATGTCTGTAAATCTGTTTTTACCTGTTCCCTGAAGTCCTTTCAAAATAATTGCTGTTTCATTCTTGATTCCGGGATGTTGAATCATTGATGCAATCCAGCGAGAAGGTATTTATACACTTCATGTTATTATCACAAATGCTTCTTTAATGAAATTCATAAACATCTCAATTTTTGAGTAATCTGGTTTTTCGAGAACGTTGTATTTATAACCTTGAAACGTTGAGAAAACATCGGGGGAATCAGATTTAAAGCAAACACCCTTAACGGTTAATGAAGACAATTGATTTAGTAGTACATCCCATGCTGTTTTATGTTTTACCTTCTTCTTTAAATAATTTAATCATTTTGAGTGACTCTTTCATGTTTGATTGAAGAACAAATGATATTTGATTCATTTTGTCGTGTATGTTGTAATCTTTCTGAATGAAATATTTATTTCCACAATCTACAAAACGGATTACACGTGATAAATCCTCAATTACTTCAGAACTGTTTTTATACTGATGATTTTCAGCCTTGCGTCTAATATCTGTTATCAAAAACGAGTCGTCAAGTTTGATATCAAATGTTATTTTTGGCTTACGTAATAAAGGTAAAACATATTCATCATAATATTCCTTTTGATATAGTTTTAGAATCTTCACTAAAACAAATGGAGAAGTCATTAAATGTGCATATCTATTACGTGCTTTTTCAAAATTACTTTTTGCATTTTCAGTTAAATTGCAGAAGTTATAAACGTTATCGTATGCTTCATTAATTAAATGATTAGGTAACGAATTAATAGCTTGAAACAGTGTGAATAATGTAACTTCTTTTTCTAAATTCATGTTTCCACCGTCATTATGTACTTCAAAATCACAGATGCCATCAACTATGCTTTGAGCTAGTTTATCATCAATGTTTACATCTTTGTTTTCATTCATTATACTCTTTATTTCTTCGTTCTTCTGTTCAACTCTTACCTTAATATTCAAATCATTTAATATATCGTTTACTGTTCTAGTTAATGTTGAATCATAACTTCCACGAATGAATGAGTATGTTTTGATTGGTTCTGTTGCATTCTTGCGAACTCTTGAATCAGCCATAACCACTAATGAACGCTTTGAATCATCCATTGAAGTCATTATATCAATATCATAATCATTGCAGGAATAACATTTAATCATTCTGTTCGAGGTTGAATAGAAGAAATTAGTGTTGCAATAAATGTGAAGACCTCCTGAAGCGGTTTTAACGATAACATCTTTATCCGAAAGTTTTGATAAAATGTCTTTTCTAACTGTTTCTTTAAGTTCATCATTGTATGATTTATTGATATCAACATCTATAATCGTTAAATTTGAAATTTTATTTACTAATAAAGCCATACCAGTTTTCCTTCCTCTTCCTCCATCGTGTTTGAGGTAGTTATGTAAATCAATCTTGTTTTCACCAATTCTTTCGTTGAGGGTTTTAGTTTCTGCCACAACTAATTCCTCAGCTAATGAATCAATGATATTTTCATCAGAAACGATATAGTTGCTGTTGTTGTTTGTTGCTGTCATTTATATAGGAATAAAAAAATAAAAATAATTAATAACTAACTTTATTTTTCTGTCTTAAGGAAATTCATGAAAATTCATGGTTCAAAACTGAATATCATATAACCTCTTGAAAACGTTTAAACGAACTTGAACTTTCTTTCCTTCAGTATCCGTCAAAGTAACATATGCAATTCCTGATTTTAGGAAACAAACATGCATTTTTCTATAGTTAACTCCTGTATAGTAATAGAATGCGTCCTCATTCTCAACATAGTAGTAGAACTCTAAGTCATGCTTTCCATAAGAGTTTATTTCAATTGCTTCGTCAGATATTTCATCAACGAACTCATAAACTATATCACCATACTTGCTTTTATTTCTATTGTTTTCAGATCTAGAACACCAACGAAGGTTTGAGATTCTGTTGTCGTCTCTTTGATGGTTTATATGGTCCACACACGGTAAATTGTTCGGATTGGAAATAAAATGAGTAGCTATGAGAACATGTTTTTGGTACTTTTTGAGGTTTAATGTTACACAAATATAACCTATTCCTCTGTTATATTCATGTATAATTCTCTTGGTTTCTTTCTTCCTTATTTCAAAAGGCTCAGAACAGTGAATTTCATACTCTTCATCTTGTAAACATTCTTTCCATACATCTTGACCAACAAGTTCAGCGTACATCTGTCTTTACATACAAAATAAAATATATTTTTTTAAAAAACTAAAATATATGTTTATTTCGGGAAAATTCATGACAAAAACATTTACGAAGAAGAAGTCATGACAAAAACATTTACGAAGAAGAAGTCATGACAAAAACATTTACGAAGAAGAAGTTTATTTCCTGTGTTGTTGTCAAAATGTCGTGTTGTCAGTAATTTTCAGAGAAGTTAAATGACCTGGTAGCACATGGTAGCATGGTAGCACCTTCAGTTCTTCAAAAATAATTCATAACTACCTTCCTCCTGTGTTGTTGTCAAAATGTCGTGTTGTCAGTAATTTTCAGAGAAGTTAAATGACCTGGTAGCACATGGTAGCATGGTAGCACCTTCAGTTCTTCAAAAATAATTAATTATTGAATAACCTAAAAACATGAGACTTTGTCTCCGGACTCTTTGAGTCACTTCACGATAAAATAAGTGATAACAAATTTTTATTTTTATCATAAATGAATACCCCACAAGCTCAAAATTTACCACGAATCATAACAAGGGAGGAAATGATAAAAATGATGCAAGAACATGTTAAAAATAACAAACCACTAAAATTGAGAAAATGTGGTTATGCGGTAATGATGGAAAGAGAGATGTTGTCGAAGAGGAATAAAAATTAAATTTGGATAGAGTTTAAAAATTCATCTTTATTAAATTCATCTCTTCCAATCAATTTATTTATTCTATTAAATTCTTTTATTTTTGCTTCACTCAGTTTAAGGATTGAACGATAAGTTTCTAATTTTTCGATTATTTCTTTCCTCTCTTTATCGTTTTCAACCCCACCACATTGTGGCTTCTTTTTGTAATAACATATTTTTGATTTAATTCTGTTTAGTTTCTTTTTATATTCATCGTCTGGACTCTTGACTGCTTCGTTGTTACTCATTTCTTACGAAATAAAAAAATTAAATATTATTTAAATATAATGGAGTAATAAAATAAATCGGAATTTCTATTAATTTATTGTCAACTTCAACTTTAACTAATGCATTGCCGTTAATATATCTAACAAATTCAGCTATTGTGTCAAATCTTCGTCTTCTTTTTGTCATTGATTTATCAGTTTTTCCATAATCGAGATGAATCAAAACTTTATCCCCTTGTTTAAAATTCATGAGCCCCGAATTAATTTGTTCACGTTTAACATCATTCAACCTTTCCATTTGCTTTCTAATATATTCCCATTCTTTTGAAATATCATTTTTCATTTCCACCGGTTTCATGTTTATTGTTCTATGCCATGTATTATTGTAATAATATACTAACTGCTGTATGATGGAGTCATGATTTCCATCCCAGTATATCTGACCGTTAACCCCTAACGCATCTCTAAGAGTTCTCATTACCGCATCAACTATTTTATTATGAAACGTATATGGAGAGGATGAAAAGTAAAAATTAATTTGTGGGAAATAATGAGCCATAGCTGCCTGAAATCCTTTATCACCATCACCCCTTATATTATCTACTCTTTCATGATCTAGTAAGTATTGAATAGCTCTTCTTGTTTCCTGTTCTGTTTTCCCTTTCACCGGAATGCAATATAAATATCTGGTGTTAATGTTAATGGCAAATAAATAAGTAACGTTTCCTCTTGAATATTCTAAATGATCGATTTCGTATGAATATGGATATGGTGCAAATGAAGGGCGACTAAATTTTTCCTTTAACGGTTGAATTTTTGGGTCAGTTGGTTTATTTAATATTTTGAAATCCTTTTTAAAATCCTTTTTAAAATCTTTTTGCTTCTTTAATGTTTGAAATGGATATAATAAAGTGAATGATGAAGGATTAACTGAAGGAGGAGGAGGTACTGTCGTTGGAGGGTTTGGTGTTGCAGGTGGTTTAATTTTATCTGCTTTGATTTTGGATGATGAAGTTTTAGTTGTTGATTTTCCTTTCATTAATTCTGGATGTATTCTATTCATTTGTTTTAAATATGCTGTATATAAAAGTTTAATATACTTTCCCGCTTCGAGTTTATGTTGAAGGATGAATTCCAAAAGTTGATCTTCATTTAAAAGTCGGGCTGAATATGGTTTAACTAATGAATCATAAATTAAAGCTTGTGCTTCATTTATGGTCTGAAGGACCTGGGCGTTTTGCACCTTTAGCTGTTGAACGTTTGCTACTTTCTCTTTTGGTGTTGTTTTCGGCTTTTTCTTCTTTGGCTTTTGTTCCTTTGGCTTTTGCGGCTCAGGATTATATAATTTATATAATTTATATAATTTATCAATATCTTCTTCTGTTAATACTTTATTTTTGAAATCTTTCAACTGTTTAAGTTGTGATTTAGTTTTTCCCTTTGTATATTCATTATTTTTAATTTTGTCTTTAATTTCAGAAATTATTTTATCATGATATTTCAAAATTTCATTTTTATAATATGGATAATAATAATCCATATCATCACCCGTTATATTTTTATTATATTTTTGGAGATATGATTTTAATTCATAATAATTAGGAAAATTTTGATTAAGTACTAAATCATAAATTAAATTTTCTAAATCTGCGTTATCCATTTATATAAAAATAAAATAAATGTTTTAAGGGTGCCCACCTCTTTGAATCATAGTATCAAAACCATTATTTACATATTGAATTGCATCATTAACGGTTCCTCCTTCTAAAACGGTATCAAATGGTGGAGTCCA